TTGTTTAAGTATACAAATATAAGACACCCCCCACCCTTTTTCTGGATAGACGGGGTCTCAGTTTATTGCCCATGCTGATCTTGAACTCTTGATTTTAACCAGTCCTTTCACCTGAGCTTCGCAAAGTGCTGGGAATTCAGGCCTGAGCCTTCATGCCTAGTCATTAGGTGGCTTTTTGTGTTGATTTTTTATCTGAAACTTTATCAGATTTATTTAATAGTTCTAACAGTTCTTTTTTTTTTTTTTTGGTAGGACTTTTTAATTTTTAATTTTTTATGTTACTTTAAGTTCTGGGATATATGTGTGCAAAAGGTGCAGGTTTGTTACAGAGGTATACGTGTGCCATGATGGTTTGCTGCACATATCAACCTGTCATCTAGGTTTTAAGCCCTGTTTGCATTAGGTATTTGTCCTAATGCTCTCCCTCTCCTTGCCCTCCACCCCCCGACAGGCCCCCAATGTGATGTTATTCTCCCTGCGTCCATGTGTTCTCATTGTTCAACTCCCATGAATGAGTGAGAACATGCAGTGTTCGGTTTTCTGTTCTAGTGTTGCTTTGCTGAGAATGACGGCTTCCAGCTTCAGCCATGTCCCTGCAAAAAACATGAACTTAGTATTTTTATGGCTGCATAATATTCCGTGGTGTATATGTGCCATATTTTCTATATCCAGTCTATTATTTATGGGCATTTGGGTTGGTTCCAAGTCTTTGCTATTGTAAATAGTGGTGCAATAAACATACATGTGCATGTGTTTTTATAGTAGAATGATTTATAATCGTTTGGATATATACCCAGTAATGGGATTGCTGGGCTCAAATGGTATTTCTGGTTCTAGATCCTTGAGAAATCGCCACACTGTCTTCCACAATAGTTGACTAATTTACATTCCCATCAACAGTGTAAAGTGCTCCTATTTCTCCACAACCTCTCCAGCATCTGTTGTTTTCTGACTTTTTAATAATTGCCATTCTAACTGGCATGATATGGTGTCTCATTGTGGTTTTGGTTTGAATTTCTCTAATGATGAGTGATGATGAACTGTTTTTCATATATTTGTTGGCCACATAAATGTCTTCTTTTGTGAAGTGCCTGTTCATATCCTTTGCCCATTGTTTTGGTGGGGTTGTTTATTTCTTGTAAATTTGTTTAAGTTCCTTGTAAATTCTGGATATTACACCTTTGTCACAGGGGCAGCTTGCAAAAATTTTCTCCCATTCTGTAGGTTGCCTGTTCAGTCTGATGATAGTTTCATTTACTGTGCAGAAGCTCTTTAGTTTGATTAGATCCCATTTGTCAATTTGAGCTTCTGTTGCAATCACTTTTGGTCTTTTAGTCATGAAGTATTTGCCCATGCCTATGTACTGAATTGTGTTGCCTAAGTTTTCTTCTGGATTTTTTATGGTTTTGGGTTTTACAGTTAATTCTTGAATCCATCTTGAGTTAATTTTTGTATAAGGTGTGAGGAAGCGGTCCAGTTTCTGTTTTCTGCCTATGGCTAGCCAGTTTTCCCAGCACCATTTATTAAATAGAGAATCCTTTCTCCATTGCTTGTTTTTGTCAGGATTGTCAAAGATCAGATGGTTGTAGTTGTGTGGTGTTATATCTGAAGACTCTGCTCTGTTCCATTGGTCTATACATCTGTTTTGGTACCAGCGTAATGCTGTTTTGATTACTGTAGCCTGGTAGTGTAGTTTGAAGTCAGGTAGCATGATGCCTCCAGCTCTGTTCTTTTTGCTCTGGATTGGGCTATTTTTTGGTTCCATATAAAATTTAGACTAGTTTTTTTTTTTTTTTTTCTAATTCTGCAAAGAAAGTCAGTGGTATCTTGATGAGAATAACATTGAATTTATAAATTACTTTAGGCAATAGGCAATATGGCCATTTTCATGATATTGATTCTTCCCATCCATGAGAATGGAATGTTTTTCCATTTGTGTGTGTCCTCTCTTACTTTCCTGAGCATTAGTTTGTAGTTCTCCTTGAAGGGGTCCTTCACATCCCTTGTAAGTTTTATCGCAAAGTATTTTATTTTCTTTGTAGCACTTGGGAATGGGAGTTCATTCATGTTTTGGCTCTCCGCTTGTCTATTTCTGGTTTAGGAATGCTTGTGATTTTTGCAAATTGATTTTGTATCCTGAGACTTTGCTGAAGTAGCTTATCAGCTTAAGGAGTCTTTGGGCTGAGACAAGGGGGTTTTCTAAATATACAGTCATGTTGTCTGCAAATGGAGATAATTTGACTTCCTCTCTTCTCATTCAAATACCTTTATTTCGTTCTCTTGCCTGATTGCCCTGGCCAGAACTTCCAATACTAAGTTGAATAGGAATAGTGAGAGAGGGCATTATTACCTTGTGCTGGTTTTCAAAGGGAATGCTTTAAGCTTTTGCCCAGTCAGTATGATATTGGCTATGGGTTTGTCATAAATAGCTCTTATTATTTTGAGATATGTTTCATCAACCCCTAGTTTATTGAGAGTTTTTAGCATAAAGAGATGTTGAATTTTATCAAAGGCCTTTTCATCATCTATTGAGATAATCATGTGGTTTTTGCCTTTGGTTCTGTTTATGTGATAAATTAGGTTTATTGATTTGTATATGTTGAACTAGCCTTGCATCCCAGTGATTAAGCTGATTTGATCGTGATGGATAAGCTTTTTAATGTGCTTCTGGATTCAATTTGCCAGTGTTTTATTGAGGATTTTCGCATTGCTGTTCATCCAGGATATTGCCTGATATTTTCTTTTTTGTTATGTCTCTGCCGGATTTTGATATCAGGATAATGCTGGCCACATAAAATGAGTTAGAAAGGAGTCTCTTTTTCTATTGTTTGGAATCGTTTCAGAAGGAATGGTGTCAGCTTCTCTTTGTGCCTCTGGTAGAATTCGGATGTGCATCTGTCTGGTCCTGGGCATTTTTTATTTTGGTTGGTAGGCTATTAATTACCACTTCAATGCCAGAACTTGTTATTGGTCTATTCAGGGATTCAACTTCTTTCTGGTTTAGTCTTGGGAAGGTGTATGTGCCCAGGAATTTATCCACTTCTTCTAGATTTTCTAGTTTATTTGCATAGTGGTATCTGTAGTATTAGCTGATGGTAATTTGTATTTCTGTGGAATCAGTGGCGATATCCCCTTTATTTTTTTATTGTGTCTATTTGATTCTTCTTTCTTTTCTATTTTATTAGTCTAGGTAGTGGTCCATCTATTTTGTTAATCTTTTCAAAAATCCACCTCCTGGTTTCATTGAGTTTTTGAAGGGATTTCCATGTCTCCATCTCCTTCAAACAAAACACTTTTATACCGGTGGAAATGTAAACTAGTACAACCACTATGGAAAACAGTGTGGAGATTCCTTAAGGACCTAAAAGCAGATGTACTCTTTCATCCATCAATCTCACAACTAGTTAAGTGCGCAGAGAAAAAGACGTTATTAAACAAAGAAATACTTGCACATGCGTGTTTATAGAAGCACAATTTGCAATTACAAAAACATGGAACCAGCCCAAATGCCCATAAATCAACAAGTGGATAAAGCAAATGTGTGTGTGTGTGTGTGTGTGTGTGTGTGTGTGTATGAGTGTGTATACTATGGAATACCACCCAGCCATAAAAAGGAACAAAATAATGTCATTCATAGCAACCTGGATGGAAATGGAGGCTTTTATTCTAAGTGAAGTAACTCAGGAATGGAAAACAAAACATGGTATATTCTCACTCATCTCATAAGTGGGAGATAAGCTATGAGAACACAGAGGCATAACAATACAATGGACTTTTGACACTTGGAGGAAAGGGTAGGAGGGGGTGAGGGATAAAAGACTACTCACTGGGCACAGTGTACACTGCTTGGGTGATGAGTGCACCAAAATTTCAGAAATCGCCACTAAATAACTTACTTATGTAACCAAACATCAACCTGTTCCCCAAAAACCTGTTAAAATGAAAAAAAAATTTAAATATTAAACAGTAAAAACTACTAAAAGCCTTAAAAACCCAAATAAATAAGTAAATAAGTAATATAAATAAATAAATAGAAGATGAGAAATTCTTCCACTATAGAGAGAACCAGAGGCAAGAGATGAAAAACCAAGAATCCGGACAAACCATCACAGACTCTCTTGTCACCTTAGATGAACGCCACTCCTAGAGTTTCATTTTGATGGACAATAAATTCAAACTTTACAATAAATAAATAAAGTCAGGGATAAACAACTTAAGGACCCTCAAAGGTAGTAATGAGCCCTCTATGGAATGGGTGCAAGTCAGCAACAATAGGGTGAATCTCAGAAGTGTGCAGAGTGAAAGAAGCCTGAACAAATGGGAAGATAATGTTTGATAACACTGATACCTTCCAGAAAATGGAAACCAAACAGGAGTGACAGAGGGAGACCTGTGGCTTCCTGGGAGAGCATTGCGGGAGGGAGGGAGATGGCAAAGGATCATGAGGAGCTGCTGGGGTTGGTCACAGGTTGCGTAGCTCCATGGTGGCGGTGATGTTTTCAAGGATCCAGAAAAATGCCATAATTTATATAATTTCTTAGTTATAAATATGGGTGGTTTATTAGATGTGCATTATTCCTACATACAAGGAGTTTTATTTTTTTAAAAAATGGGCTGGGGAGAAAAGCACAGGGATTCACACTGAGGAGCAGGGGGAGGAAGACACCACTCTGGAAACTCCTGGAAATGGGAAAAGTGGGGATGATGGAGACACAGGTTTCCCATCAGAGGTGAGTCTGTGATGACACAGCTGGACCTGCCACCTCAGCCCAAAACTTTAGTACAGAGACCCTGTGTTCTGAGCCACAGGGAGCAGGATGTTTTGTTTCCTGGATGCCCTGTTTCTGACTCTGAGGACTGAAGGGGAGGAGGAGCCTTCACTCCCAAGCAGGGCCCTGGATGCCCCTAGATCCATGGGAGAAGCTGCAGCAGCAGAAGCTACAGGCCAGGCCTGAGCAGCAGCTTCCAGGGGCTCACCCTCTGGTCAGAGGAGGAAGGGGGTTCTTGTCTCACTTCCCCCTAGGCCTGGAGCACTGTGTGAGCACTCAGGCTGTCATCCCATGTTTCGCAGTAATAATCAGCCTCATCCTCAGGCTGGAGTCCAGTGATGGCCAGGGAGGCTGAGGTGCCGGACTTGGAGCCAGAGAATCGGTCAGGGACCCCTGAGGGCCGATTGCTGTTACCATAGATGAGGAGTTTGGGGGCCTTTCCTGGGACCTGCTGGTACCAGTTTACATAATTACTTCCGATGTTGGAGCTGCTTCCAGAACAGGAGATGGTGACCCTCTGCCCAGGGTTCCCAGACACTGAGTGCGGTTGAGTCAGCACAGACTGGGCCCAGGACCCTGGAAGTGAGAGAAACACAAATATGGTGACTGACAAGAGACAAAGGGAGAAAGCAGGGTCCCACGGGCTTCCCAGCCCCTCCACCCAGGCCCCATATCACGTCACCTGCACAGTGAGTGAGGAGAGTGAGGAGGAGAGGGGACCAGGCCATGCTGAAGACTGTCCTGAGTCCTGCCTTCTGTACCCGCAGCTGCAGCTGAGCTTCCCCCACATCTCTCCCCCTCTTCATACTCTGAGAGCAGGAGAATCCATCCATGCAAATCCGGCATCCCCCCGCCCCCCCCCCGCCCCCAGATTTCTGACTCCACCCTGGGCCCTGGGTCTGTCTCTTTGGCTTGAGGATGTCAGGGGGTGGCAAGGGTGGGGCCCTGTGGCCCCAGGGGGTAGGGAGGACACAGCTGTGAGCCTTGTGCAGAGGACACCAGGCAGGGCAGGTGGCTGGTTCTGCTGTGATTACCCTGTCTTCTCAGGAATTGTCCCCTGGCGCCCCTTGTGTCCAGACCAAGACAAACCATTGTGTGACAATTTGACCACGGCTTCTCAGAGACGTGGCCGACTCCTCCCATTCTTTCCACTGCCTCCTCTCTCAGGTCCAGACCAGTCCTGGTGGTGCCTGTGTCTCCTCCCTGTAACCTCAGGGCAGTTTTCACGCTACTGGACTCCTCAGGAGTAAATCTGTCCATGGCTCTTTGGCTGTTCATTGTAGAGGACTCAGGTGGTGTCAACACAAAGTCCTCTTATGTCAGGATCAAGCTAGAGCGGAGACTGGCTCTATGGACTCACTTCCCCACCTTTGTTTGACACTGCACCTTTTCTTTCATGTGGCTCCTTCCTGGTGGCCAGAGCTCTCCTTCCTCTGCGGATCCTGCAGCACTGAAAAGAAAGGGAGCTCTTTTGTCTAGGATGCCCTGGGGAGGCGTTCCCAGAGGGTCTTTCTGGTAAATCTTTATTTTCTCTCGACTTCCCTAGATTCAAAGTCAGAGTCTTCTGGATACTGTGACCAGGGATCTTGCCTAGGAGTCTGTCTTCCAAACACTGAATGCCAGTCTGCAGGGAATCCTGGCAAATGTCTTTGGAGTATTTCGCTTATGTGCAAAAGGAGTCTGTCCTTGGGTTATCCTGCTGTGCAATAGCTCTTAGTATCAAGCACCCCAACTAGAATTTCTAGGGAAAAATTATGTTTCAAATTCAGTAGTGAGTGTTTTGGAGGTGGCCTAAAGATGATAGAAAATATCCATCTTTATATGCAGCAAACCACCATAGCACACGTATGCCTATGTAACAAACCTGCACGTTCTGCATATATATCCCAGAACTTAAAATATAATAATAAAAAAGGAAATATTAATCTTTGATCTGTTATGACATTTAGAATATAACAAATTAACAGCAATAAGTTTAAGAAAAAAGATAACTGTGTTGATCAAAATGAAAAATGAAACAGATTATGTCTATAACTACGTGAGTTCTAGCAGGATACTCCTTGGAATCTTAACAAATATTTGTTTGGGGAATTTTATGGGGCTGGAGAAAAACAGCAAGACGGTTATGTTGACATTTACACTGGTGAACGTATCACCAGGCAGTAGCAGTACAATGAAATTTTAAATGTTCTGTTTAAACAATGAAATAGTGAGAGCTAATATAAACATTTAAATAAAACCAGTCCATATGTGTAGCTGAAATAAAATGTACGCTATATTTTGGGTTTGCATTTCAAGGGTGTCATTATTTTAAACGTAGTCACCACAGCCTGTGAAGTGGCACTGGAAACCCAGAAAAGAGAAACATCACCAAGACAGGAAATGGGGGACCCAGTATCAGTGTTTCTCTTCCCCACTCCTAACCCAGAAAGTCTGCTGTGACCTGTGCAATAAGCCCTTAGTGAGGACAGGGGAGGCTTTCATGCTAGGGTGGACACGCCTCCCACCAGCCTTAGGGTGTTCTTTTCAGCTACTGGCCACTGGGTTGAGCTTCCACAGCTCTCATTTATAACAAGTGGAGGTGAGAATCTTCGTGCAAGCAATTTTCACTCTCATGGGTCTTTAAACGCACTTCCAGGTTGTTATGGGTGTGGAGTACTCACACATGGTGATCCTGAAGCTCCGGTCACGGGTTACAGGAGCATTCCACAGCCGTGTGCAGTGCTCTAAGCTCACCCTTAACACGTTTTAGTGTTCACAGAGAAGATGTTGCAAGTCACCTGGTGTCCATCAGATTTGGGAGCTGTAGTTCTCGAAGTAGATATAATGCAGTGTCTGGATTCCCAGCTTGAAACAAGAGTCAGGAACGTGAGAAGATACGGTTAGGGAAGGAGAGATTTTGAATATATTATGCCACACTCCAATCCTACTCTCTAACACTGATGCTTTTTTCATCTCTAGAGCAAAAAGAAACTCTGGAATATTAAGATCTGTTGCGTACAGGAGCATGTATCCGATTCAGGGGAAATCAATCCAATCTCTAACCATTTAGTATGATGTTAACTGCAGGATATTCATAGATGCATTTTGTTGGGTTGAGGAAATTCCCCTATGTTCCTAATTTCTAGAGTTTTTTTTTTTTTTTTTTAGTGCACAGAGGTTGAGTGGATGAATGTTTTCAAATGACTTTTTATCAAAATTGTTAAATGTTAAAATTTATTCTCCTTAAGGGTAAGTTACATTAATTTTTAAATGTTAAAGCAACTTCAAGTTCTGAGTTTGGCCATTTTTTTCTGTAATGTTAGATGGAATTGTAAATATTTTTCTATCAATGTTTTGGATAGTGAAGAATTTTGGATATTGGTTTTAATTTCTTTTCTCATAAAGTCTTTATCTGCTTATAACGTCAGGATAGACCTGGCCTCATAAAAGTGTTGAGAATTGTTGCTTCCCACTGTATTTTCTGAGAGGATCATTTCTATTTGTACTGTAAATATTTGACAGAAATTATCGGCTGGGTGCAATAGCTCAGGCCTGTAATTTTAGCACTTTGGGAGGCCGAGGTGGATGGATTGCTTGAGGTCAGGAGTTCAAGAATAGCCTTGCCAACATGATGAAACCCATCTCTACTGGAAATACAAACATTAGCCAGGCATGGTGGAGTGCAACTGAAATCCCAGCTACTCAGGAGGCCAAGGTGGGAGAATCACTTGAATCCAATGAGCAGAAGCTGCAGTAATCCAAGATTGCACCATTGCAATCCAACCTAGGAAGAGAGCAGGGCTCTGTCTCAAAAACACAAACAAAAAATTACCAACGAAGCTATTGTTGTACCTGTGGACCTGGTATTGTACTTGTGACAAGGTTTTAAATGACAGTGATAGACCACTTAAATATAAGTAACAACAAACATGAGTCAAACAAAAATAATTTTTATATATTGTTAAAACGTCTAACAGTACCTGAATTATTGTAACGTAAGAGAATGAGTTTTGACTAGGCTGTAACTTTTCACCATATGTTTAATAACGTTGTCAAAGTAAATTAAATTATGATTTTTAAATGTTCAGAAAAAGTTAATTCAGTGATATTTGATAAAGATAACATGTTTGATAAAAATAATATATTTTGAAAGAAAAATCATAGAAGCCATTCAATTCTCATCTTCACACAATAGCGAAAGAGGTCTGTATTAAGCCATTCTTGCATTGCTATAAAGAACTACCCGAGACGGTGTAATTTGTAAAGAAAAGAAATTGGGGCCAGGCGCGGCGGCTCAA